TCCACCAAACCCCTGGTCTTCAAGCATTCCATGGGGCAGGGCATTCCTTACATAAGAGTTATATGCTTGCATGAACATATGGCTAAGAACAATTCCTTACACAGTGTCTTCAAAGAGCTCCTTTGAGGGCCATTCTGTGAAATGTATCTCTTTGGAGAATGTGAAAACCTGAGACATGATGCCCCCGAGGATGAAGTCACCTGCCTGATAATGCTTGTGAAGGAGAGGCAGCGGCTCACTGATGCTGAATGTGGCATGAGGACGCTTGCCCTGTACCCAAAGAAGCAACTACAAGAAGAGCAGAATGGTGGCCAGGAACTTGCATAACACTCCTTCATGTTTGCATTAGCCCATTGCCCAACTGCCTGATCAGCATTGAATCCAGCCTGAGCTGCACAGCTGTCTTGAATGCCAGTTGCTGGGCTGATGTGGGCTCAGGCTATGTGGTGTCATCTAAATGAGCAGTCTGATGACTCCCTGGCTGTGCTTCACCCCAGCTAAAATGACAAAGGGAAAGCCGAATGGCCACCTGTAGTTTCAGATCATGGCCTTCCCAGTGTCCTCTCCCTTGGGATGTCCAAGATGCAGAAGCAAGGAGTAATTATAATGGGTAATTATAGGGGAAATCTTTCATAGCTACTGAGAATGAATGGTCTTTTAGACACTCCAGAAGAAAACATATTCATTGCATGTGATTAATCCCAGTGTGTGTTAAAGGCCAATTCTTGGGTGGAAGAGTTTCTTTTCACTGGTCTGTGTGCAGTGTAGCAGGTCTGAGCACCAAGTTTAGGTGTGTGTGTCTGGCTAAAAAAATGAAGTGCTTGCTAGACGTGCACATTCTCTAGTCTAACTTTAGTACATTTTGATCACAATGTAGCACCTTAGATACCCTTTCTGTGACCACCTGAGTATCTGCACTTTGGGGGACACCCTCTTGGCCTGACAAGATGGGTCAAGGGACAATTACTTGCAAGTTCCCAGTATACTTGCTGCATGCTGTTCTGTTGTAAACAAGTAAGCTATATAGACTAGCCACTCCCCTTCTGCTCTTGTTTTGACTGTCCAAGGAGACTCTGCTGACCCCATCCATTCCAGCTGATGGGAGCCTACTTTCAAGTGTTGCTCTGTAAAACACTTGCTGCTAAACGCTTTAGCTGTGCTAGTAGCTCTTTTGTTGTTGCAACAATAAAGGGTCTTCTAGTACGTTACCGTGCAAACTGACAGAACCATTTCCTTTGCATCACGTGCATGTCTTGTCCCCATTGAGAGGTACAGGAACAGTAGTCTCTTAAACATGTTAATTCTGCTGGAATCCTTTTTTTAAATTCAGTCCCTTCCCATGCAATTACCTAATCTATTTTCCAAAAAGGAGCTGAGAATGGTTAAAGTGTTGGTCACACTAGCAAATGGAGCTGATGAACTCAGTCTGGTTGTTACACAAGACCATGTGATAGGAGATTAATTCCCTCCAACTAAAGAATTGACCCTAATGGGGGAAGATGGAGGAAAGGGAAAGTTTGGTGATAGCAACAATAGTTTACAGCCAACAAGGACAACCCAACTTACAGGGCCTTTATGGTCCATTCAGCCAGGTTAATTAACATACTAAGGGGAGTCTCAGCTATATAAAGCTCAATTAGACTTTCTGCTGGTAAACAATATGCAGGACAACTCAGCACTCTTCAGCATGGAGAAGAGGAAACAAACGGAACCACCCAAGAGGAGAACAAAAGGTTGTTCTGTTGCTTCAGCTTTATTCTGCACACCTCCCAGCGTAGGTCAGTTGACCTGTTGAGTGATGGCCCATCTCCCAGCACTTGGGGAAAGTGATTTTCTCCAGTCAATGGTGTAATCTCTGGTGTCCTTGAGACCATATGTTATGACAGTTCTCAACCCACATCGCAAAGGAAGGATGAGGACCTTTGGGCACCAGATTCCAGCTAGGCTGGCTCCTGGTTTTACTAGCTTTTTGGCCATCCCTTGATTGACCCTCCTCTTGTCTTCTGGGGCTTCAAAAGCTGGTTCATGTTACATGAGCAACTGTGAATCCATCCCCTTGTTGTGATTGGATCACAATATGTTGAGATTTAGGGTAGTGAATCAATCCAGGAGACGGCATGAGCAGAGGTGGAGAAAACCCCCTATTGAGTTCAAACAAGCCTTGATAAGTAACTATGTTCAAGAACATTCGAATAAAGTGAAGGCAGCCAGAAGCAAAGATACCATGCAAAGCAACCTCTCACTGCTTAAATTCATTTTTTATTAGCTCAGAGTAGAACCCTTAAGGTTTCCATGGGGCCAATTACATGCTAGCCTCACAGACAAACTTGACAAATCTATGGCACACCATCATACAGTATCAGGTGTAATCTAGGAGAAAATCTCTTGCAGACGCATGAATGGGAGACCTAGATCCCATGTTTGAAAAGTTCAATTATGCCAGATTAGACTTGAATCTAATTTTCTTGGATGAGTTTCTGATGGTCAAGCTTTAAGTTGTTTCTATAAGTAATCATAATCATAGCCATAATTGCTAACAACAATGTATCAGTTAACTACAACTTATTGAACTTTCCTTTTATTTAAAAGAGTTTCATACTTTAAGCTGGATCACATTAATGATTAGCACAAATTTTATGGTATTTTCCGTCGTAGGTGCTCCTTGTTGTTCAGTTCAGGCTTCAGCAAAATAATATAGCATTTAGGTGAAAAGATGCAAATGAGTAAACCAGCACTGGAGGCCAGGATGGAGAAGATCTCCACAGCCACCATGTATTTCCCTTTTGTGCTCAGGTACGTTGGAACAAANAGGATGGAGAAGATCTCCACAGCCACCAGATACTTTCCTTTTGTGCTCAGGTATGTTGGAACAAAGGACACCCACACACTGCAGAAGACCAACATGCTGAAGGTGATGAACTTGGCTTCATTAAAACTATCAGGCAGGTTCCTGGCTAGGAAAGCTACAGAGAAGCTTACAGTAGCCAGGAACCCCATAAAACCTAAGACACAATAGAACATGTTGGCTGATCCTTCATTACACTGCAGGACAATTTCCTTATTCATTGAGTGCATTTCAAAATCTGGGAATGGGGGAGAGGTGGCCAGCCACAAAATGCAAAGAATGCCTTGAATGAGAACACTGGAAAGAACAATGGAGGATGCCAACTTCTTCCCAGCCAACTTCCTCATTGGGGACACAGGCTTGGTGGCCATGAAAGCCAGAACCACAATGATGGTTTTGGCAAAGACACAAGAAACAGCCACTGAGAAAATTATAGCAAAGGTTGTTTGTCGAAGGAAACATGTCATCTTCTCAGGCTGGCCAATGAACAGCAAAGTGCAAAGGAAAGAGAGCAGGAGTGAGATGAGAAGGGTGTAAGTGAGGTCACGGTTGTTGGCTTTGACTATGGCTGTGTTGTGGTACTTGATGAAGATCCCAAGTACTAAAGCAGTGATGAAAGAAAATGAGAAAGCAGCAATAGCCAAACTAAATCCCAAAGGCTCCTCATAAGTCAGAAAGGTAATGATTTTAGGCATGCACTTATTCTGGCCATCGTTTGGATACTGATCTTCTGGACATAGAGAACAGTCATCCATATCTGCAAAACAAAGTATCCTCATTTAAATAAGAAAATAAAAGCAACACTGCTAGGGGAATTACATGGAAAGTATTCTAAGACCATCAAATAGCCATTAAGTTGCTCTGTAAATTTCTCAATGAGCATATATTGTAGAACCATTAAAAAAACACTCAACCTTACCTTCCTGACCGGAGAACTTCCCTTTCGGACATGGATGACAGTCATAGCAACAAAAAGGTTCCC